GGGAAAGAGCAGGTATGCGGGGCATCCACGTCGCTCCGCGGGGGTCTCTGGAGCCACGGGAGGCAGGGTGTAGTGGGTGGAGCTTGCCCCAGAGCCAAGGGAGGCTGAACGGCTCACTCTCGTGGCTGCGAAGGTGCTGGGGCCTGCTCAGAATGCTTCCCGTTGCCGGAGCGACGCGGGGCGTGTCTTATTTATGCCACTTTTAACATTTCTTCGGAGGATAGGAGGCCGCACCTGTTCGGAGAAAGTTTGTGATTAAGTGCCCCTCTCCTGTTTTCCCCGAAGGCAGAGAGGACGAATCTTTCCATCGGAAGTCGGTGTACCGCGGGTCCCTGACACAGAGGAACCCCAACGGGAGGAAAGGGGCGGCCAGCCAGGTCTTCGCGGTAAGGTTTTCCCTCCTGGTGCAGGGAACCTCTGAGACGCGTGGCCTGTCAGATCAATGTACCGATATCTAGCTCTCTGAGTACAGAAAATTGGGGTGAATGAATGAGAATTAAAACCAGAGAATCAAAGCATAACGTTAACTAAAAGCTGCAAAAGGTAAAAGGTCAGAAACGTCCCACAGTGTCCCGACTGTCGTAAGGGCAGTGGTCATGCAGTGGCCTCGCTCTCCGGAGGGGCTCGCCCCGTTAGACCTCGAGGACGTTCCCCGGGACCACCTGGGCTGCCCAGCTCTGTGAAGGGCGTTGGTCGGATGGCATGCGAGGGCGTGTGTCACAGACCCTCCCCAGACTCCTGTGGGTGCCAGCCCAGGGAATGCCAGCGCCTGCAGACTGTGCCCGCTGCATCCCCTTTCCAACGCCTGCTTGTGTTGAGCGTTACAAGAGCCCGTCGCAAGCCCATCAAACTTGTCACCCATGGTCCTGCTGCCCGAGGCCTCTGCTTGAGGTGGCAGGAATGTGCCTCCCAGACCCACAGAGCTGCTCAGAGGCAGCGCCATGACCTCCAGACCGCAAGGTCGTGCTCTGTCCTGGCTGTGCACACGATGGCCGGGGCCCAGGCTCCACCAAGGCCCAAGCCCTCACTCCACCCTCCAGGCTGTGCTGCAGCGTGTCAGCTGGCAGTGCCCAGCCACACTGCCCCACTCCAGTGCGCACCAGCTCCAGAGTCCGCGCAGTGATCTGCTGGCCCCGTCTCTCCCGAGTCAGCCCAAGGAGGACTACGCGTCACTTTATTCTTTTTTTTTTTTAAGTTGCCTTGGAATTCTCCAAAGCATTTCTCTAAAACATATGTCTGGGCCCAGCTGCTGTGGAGCAAGGGGCATGACCACTGTGCGGCGGCTGAGGCCACGTGAGAGGTCCCGGTTTGGTTCCCCGTTCAGTTCCCGCCCAGGCAGGGTGGTGCGGGCCTGTGGTCTGGGCTAACCGGAATGCCAGGGCAGGAAGATGGGCATGGCTAGACCCTGCTGAAAACGCCTCCCTCTCCTCCCTCCTGCTCTTGTGTTCTCTGTCTCCTCTGTCTCATGACCACTGTGCGGCGGCTGAGGCCACGTGAGAGGTCCCGGTTTGGTTCCCCGTTCAGTTCCCGCCCAGGCAGGGTGGTGCGGGCCTGTGGTCTGGGCTAACCGGAATGCCAGGGCAGGAAGATGGGCATGGCTAGACCCTGCTGAAAACGCCTCCCTCTCCTCCCTCCTGCTCTTGTGTTCTCTGTCTCCTTTGTCTCATCAAAAAAAAACAAACAAACAACAAAAGGCGTACCTGAACGTAAACTGCTGGCAGGGCTGAGTCCTGGCAAGGAGGGAGACATGTTTTCCTCCGTCACTCTTTAGTGGACCGGGAGACCCGACCCATCTGCCCCTGTCCTCTCGCCACAGCCCCTCCATGCACAGTACACCGGGCGCCATCGCTGTCCGCAGTCAACTGCCCCAGACGGGCCCTCCTGCCAGGACTGGCCTCCATGTGCTGGTCAGAGCTTCACGCCCACCGGCACATTGCCTGAATTTAGCACACACTTGGAAACTGAGTTTTAATCAGATCCCACCACTAGTCAGTTCCCACACCTGGCACCGCTCTGGAATCAGTAAGCCGAAGAGCAGGGCATCGCGGGAGGGCACGTGTGCCTCTCCATGGAGTGAGCGGAGGGCAGTCCGCTGCTCCCCAGCCGGCTGCTCGGTGCTAGTGCAGGAGGGGTGCTGCAGTCCTGGGACCGCTGAGCTCCTGGGGGCTCTCTTCCATGCCCTCCTGAGAATTGCAGGCTGTGGGTCAGGGCTCGAGTAAGAGCGGTGACTCATCAGGCCTCTCAGAGCCTGGCGAGGCCGGCCCAGCTCTACCCCTGCTGGGAAATGAAGAAACTGAGGCAACGCCCGAAATGGGGCACCTCAATGTGCAGACACACAGTCCCTGACCCTGAGTCATGACCCCATTGATGTGCCACATGGGGGGACTCCAATCAGAGCGCCCGCTGGCCATGCCGCGGACAGCACCGTCACACAGACCGGGGATGCAGGAGAGCAGCATAAGACGGCATGACCGTGAGGCGTGTCCTCGCAGCAGGTCCCCGGAAATGGCGGGGGTGGTGGTGTATGTATCCGGTACAACATCGTTAGGGCAGGGACACCTGGCCGTCACATGGGCCGGGAAAGAGGCCTCTGGACCCTGCAGCCATCGCCCACTGGGGACGGTTGACAGTGAGTTAGGACCCTGCCTTGGGACTTGGAATCCGAATGCTTTCAAACAGGAGTACACTCCTATACTTCAGAGCTCATACGTGAAGTGCTCTCCATCCGTGGGCTCCATGGACCAGAGCCAGAGCCACTGGCCTCAACCCCTCAGGGACAGGCAGAGGGAGGTCAGACACCCCAGGGGCCTGACCGAGGCCTTAAAAAGACAAAGACCAGCTATGTGCACACCTGTGTGTGTGTGCATGTGTGTTCTGTCTGCATGCTCATGTCTCTGTGTGTACCCATGAGAGTGTTTCTCTGTACACACCCAGGTGTCTGCTTACGTGCACATCTGCATACACCCCATGTCTGTGTCTCTGCATGCACATGTGTCTCTGCATGTGCACCCCTGTGTGTTTCTCTGTGTACATCTGTATACACCCCATGTCTATATCTCTGTGCATTTGTGTGTCTCTGCATGCACACCCATGTGCTTCTCTGTGTACATCTGTGTACACCCCATGTCTATATCTCTCTGTGCATTTGTGTGTCTCTGCATGCACACCCATGTGCTTCTGTGTGTACATCTGCGTACACCCCATGCCTGTGTCTCTGTGTGCATGTGTGTCTCTGCATGTGCACCCATGTGCTTCTCTGTGTACAACTGTGTACACCCCATGTCTATGTCTTTGTGTGCACATGTGTCTCTGCATGCGCTCCCGTGTGTGCTTCTCTGTGTACAACTGTGTACACCCCATGTCTGTGTCTTTGTGTGCACATGTGTGTCTCTGTGTGTGTACCCATTGTGCTTCTCTGGGTACATCCATGTACATACCATGCCTGTATCTCCATGTGCATGTGTGTGTCTCTGCATGTGCACCCATGTGTGCTTCTGTGTGTATATCTGTACACATCCATGTCTGTGTCCTGGTGTGTGCATGTGTGGTCTTTGCATGTGCTCCTGTGTGTACTTCTGTGTGTATATCCATGTACACACCCCGTGTCTGTATCTCTGTGTGATGTGTGTATCTCTGCATGTACACCCATGTGTGCTTCTGTGTGTACATCCGTGTACACAGCCATGTCTGTGTCTTTGTGTGCATGTGCATGTCTCTGTGTGTGCACCTGCATGTGCTTCTATGTGTACATCTGTGTACACCCCATGCTGTGTCTCCATGTGCACATGTGTGTCTCTGCATGTGAACCCAATGTATGTTTCTCTCTGTGTACATCTGTGTACACCCCATGTCTATGTCTCTGTGTGCATGTGTGTATCTCCACATGTGCACCAGTGTGTGTTTCTCTGTGTATGTCTGCATACACACCCATGTCTGTGTCTCTGTGTGCATGTGTGGTCTCTGCACATGCTCCTGTGTGTGCTTCTGTGTGTATATCTGTGAATATACCCATGCCTCTGTCTCTGTGTGATGTGTCTGCATGTGCATCCATGTGTCTGTTTCTGTATGCATATGTGTATCTGTGTACACACCCATGCCTGTGTGTCTCTGTGCACATGTGTATCTCTGCATTTATAGCAGTGTCTGTGTTTACACTCCTGTGTTTGAGTCTGCATATTTCTGTGTGCACACCCAGGTGTATGTCTCTGCTTGCACACCCTGTGTCTGTGTGTGCACACCCCAGTATCTGTCTGTATACACACCATGTGTAATTATATGTCTCTCTGTGCACAGCCGTGTGTGGTTGTTGTACCTGCCTGTGTGTGTCCATGTGTATCTATTCTCACTCATGTAAACATGCATGAGTATGTGCACTTACATGTGATGTGTTTTTGTGCCTCACAGAAACCTGTGGTGGCCCACCAGCCATAAAGGGTGGTTCATGGGACGAGGACGGAGCAGTCACCACACGCTCGCCACCCCCACTGGCTCTGCACTGCTGCCCTGCATGGTCACCATCATCGTCCTGGTGAGAGACGAGAAGAAACCTGTCCGTGTGGCGGCCCCCTGCGAAACGACAGCAGCTCTGAGCCCTCGCTGCTCACTCGAGTTCACGACTGTTTCCAAGGCCGCCCCGGGCCTGCCCTGCCCTGAGCTGTGGGACCGTTCAGAACCACGCTGTCCCAGCCTTCGGAAGGAGAGGGCTTCCCCAGGGTGGCCTGCTGCCCCATCCCTCTTGGCTTTCTTATGTCGCCGTCATGAATAGAGCAGAGAAGAGACGACTCGCTAAGACTCCAGTTGTGCTGATCCTTGACCGTCTGCACCACAGCGCAGAGGACGTGGATGTTTCTCTGTGTGGGCGTGTTTCTGTGTGTGGATCTGTGTGTGTGGATCTCTGTGTGGGTGTATCTCTGTGTCTTTGTATCTCTGTGTGTCTGAATCTCTGTGTGTGTGTAGCTCTGTGTGTGTGTATGTCCATGTGTGTATTTCCATGTGGGTGTATTTCCATGTGTGTGTATTTCTCTGTGGGTGTATCCATGTATGTATCTCTGCGTGGGTGTATCTCTGTGTGGGTCTATCTGTGTGGATGTATCTCTGTGTGGGTCTATCTGTGTGGGTGTATTTCCGTGTGGGTGTATTTCTGTGTGGGTCTATCTCTGTGTAGGTGTATCTGTGTGTGTATATTTCCATGTGGGTGTATTTCCACATGTGTTTATTTCCGTGTGGGTATATTTCCATGTGTGCATATTTCTCTGTGAGTGTGCTTGGGAATGAGGCATCGAGACAGTGGCTGGACTCATGCCCAGCTGAGTGACGAGGGAGGGGCAGACACCCCTGTCCCTGCCCCGCATGCACCCAACCTGCAGGTTCCCCTAGACCACGGAGCAGCAGAAGTTACACCAGGGTCAAAGTGGAGCAGGTGGACGGGAGCGAGTGAGCATCGACCAGGCCCAGATGCAGGCACGGAGGACCTGCCAGAGGGACAGCGATGGCGCCCGGGGAGAGTGGGGTGAAGGCCAGGGTTCCAGCCTGCCTCTGCCATGGCAGAATCCAGTGGGTCAGAGGGCAGAGGGCGATGCCTGGCCTGGACAGGGTGGGGGGCAGGCAGGAATCAACCACCCACTTGCCCTCGGTTTCAAAGACAACCTCCCAGTGCCCTCCCCCTTGGACAGAGCAGGATTCAGTTCATTTGGATGTCTGTGAGGCTCCCCTGCTTTTAACTGGAGTCCGGTGGGCTCCCCAGAGAGTCCTTGGAGTCTCGTAGCAGCAGTCACACCTCACGCTCACTGAGGTCCCCAGCAGGGGCGGTGGCCAGGGTGGGGCGGCTTCCTTCGAGTCCCACGGGCAGCAGAGACGAGTCAGGCTGAGTCCCGAGGCCTATCCGGGAGGTGTTTCCTGCCGCCCCAAATAGGACAGTCCAAGGAGCTCTCCAACCTCTCCCTCTGCGTAAGGTTCAGATCCTAAAGTGCATGGCTGGGAGGCAGCCACCTGTACTTCTCCCGGAGACGTCGGCACAGCTGACTGACCATGAGCACGCACCGACCGTGGTGTTTTTTCCTGACACTTCACGGCATCCCACAAGGTGATGGCTTTAGATAAGGCCAAACGCTATTCACAGTTCTACTGCTTGGAAGATTCTCTGGAGTTCCTTCTCCTAACGGATGCTCACTCCAGAGGTATCTTCCCAGAAGCCGAGTACAGGCAGGCAGGCCGCTGAGGCCGGTGTACACTGAGTGACACCCGCCGGCTCCCTCCTAACCCAA